CAGTTCCAAACGTGAATGACACCGTGAGGAAAGAGGACCTCTAGTGGACACCAGGGAACATAAACCAGACACTGTGACATTTATATTCCGCTCCTTTGATAGTCATCCTGTTGTATGGAAGTATACAATGATCTTGGTTGTGTGAATGCAAATATGCAATATATGAATCGAGACATGTGCTGTAGTGTATATTACGATGTACAATAAACATGTTATAACCTATGATATAATATGTACGTTTTTCTGATGAGTGAATGTGTGTTTTTATGCTGCTTGTTTGATCTGTAGAGAAACATCCACAGCACTTTCCTGTTGTATAGTTTCCTACTCATGTCTGTCATAGATATGACTTATAATTTTCTGTTCATTTCTTCTTCAGGTGTGTCTGGTGCTGGTACAGAAGAAGTGTCAGTGAAGGAGGGAGATTCAGTCACTCTATACACTGGTGTTCAAACCAACCAACAAGAAAATATTAAATGGTATTTTCATGAGACTCGCATCGCTCTCATCGCTCACATCACTGGAGATCTCAGTGATATCTGTACAGATGTTCAGTGTAATGAAGGTAATGAGAGATTCAGAGACAGACTGAAGCTGGATCATCAGACTGGATCTCTGACCATCATGAACATCACAATCACACACCATGGAGAATATAAACTAGAGATCATCAACGGCAGCGACACTGAAACAATCTTCAAAGTTTCTGTTCATGGTGAGTTATTATGTTTGAAAGCAGGTTATGTTTAAATCACATCATTGTGTTTATTATAGCAGAGAACACAATAAAGAACAGAACAGAATTGCTGATGGTCCAACAATTTTGTTCTGTTCATACCATTTTTTTTATCACCTGTTGAAATGCATCTATTATTTCATACTCATTGTGTTTAGTTCACCAATAAGGATTTGATGTTAATAAAAATGTGAACTTGTTGATGAGTCCAAAGACGATGAAGAAGATTCAAATATAAGTTTTTTTTTATTAACACAAAGTAAACTCAAGTAATCCACAATGATTCAAGACCGCATACAAGCACAAACACATGAACAATACCGGACAAGGAACCGAATACTAGGAGGAACTTAAATAAACAGATAATGAACTGAATACGACAGGTGTGCTTGTTAAATGAATGTCCATGACAACTGATTAGAGGCGGGAAACTAGACAAAAGGAAACAGGAAACTGAAGAGAAACAAAATAAAAGTCCTTAAACTTAAACTGAAGATAATGGTGTCACTAGTAGTCGGTCAGTTTATCTCGTATAAAGATCGCAAGTGTTTGCAAATCATTATAAATAGTTTACATTTATAATGTGCTTATTTTGGAATGTTGTAATGCAGAAAGGTATATTTCAATATAGTAGCCTAATGCTTTGTACTGTAAGATTGGGAAAAACTGTTTGAAGAGACAGACCTGGCCACTGGTCTATGAGACAAAGGACCTTTCTGGAAATTAACATTCGACTTCTCCCTCTTCCCCTCTCTCAGGGACACCTAAAACTCACACAAGAATAGATATGGTTTAATGTGAATGATTATCATTGACTGTTATGTTTGGTATAATTTAAAATGTCTCAGAGTGAGTGGTACAAATGTCTCATTTCCAAATAAGTAAAACAAAAGGAAATACGATTTTTAGAAGTTTAGAGAAACTGGCACACAAAGGAAGATAGGCAAATGGTCGGGTCTTACAGTACTTATTGTACTATTACATTTGACATAATACTAAGTCAAGAATATTCGTAATTAATTTTGCGGTTAATTTGTTTCTACTTAATTCTTCAAGATTCAAGAATTTCATATTATTTTCTCAGTTAATCCTCCAGCATCTGTTGGTTTGTGTTTCAGGTGTTCCTGCTGCTCAACGAGATGAAATGAAGAGAAAGTCCGTAGAGGAGGGAGAACCTGTCACTTTAGATCCTGGTGTAAAAAAAGAAATGGTATTTTAATGACACTCTCCTCGCAGAAATCACTGGAGATCAGAGTCAGATCTGTACAGATGTTCAGTGTGAAGAGAGATTCAGACACAGACTGAAGCTGGTTCCTCAAACTGGATCTCTGACCATCACACACACCAGAAACACAGACTGTGGAGAATACACACTGGAGATCATCAGCAGCAGATTCAGCATCATGAGGAGCTTCAGTGTTTCTGTCACTGGTGAGTCTCATTTAATCTTTAGAATAATTGGAATACATAAATGATCAAATCTGCGATTTATGAAGCATTTGTGAATCGGAGGTGAGTTTTCATAAAGTCTATTCTACTTGCAATTCATTATGAATTACACTGACAAATTCACTCACACTAAAGGCCCTTTCACAGAAAAAATAATAATAATAGAGGGCAGGCTTAAAAAATGGACGTGCATACATATTAATATTAATTATAATATGAATTATAATAATAAATGATAACGTCTCGGTTACGTATGTAACCCTAGTTCCCTGATAGGGAACGAGACGCTGCGTCAAACGCTGTGGGAACGCCCCTGCATTGTGCGTCATGAAGCACGTATGGAATCAGCCCAATAGAGAGATGAAACGTCATAGGCGGGTGACGTCATCGACCAGGAAACTATAAAAGCACCCCAAAAGCACAAGCGCATCAGCTTCTGATAGGCCTGAAGGAAGCGCTAACGGGAGTGCCGGGAGTATGGCAGAAAGACGCAGCGTCTCGTTCCCTATCAGGGAACTAGGGTTACATACGTAACCGAGACGTTCCCTATCAAGGGAACTCGAGCTGCGTCAAACGCGGGAACGCGAATACCCACGTCGCCATAGGACCAAATGACCGCCATGTGAGAACTAGCGCACAGAGGACGATAACACCTGTGCCCCAGGAGTAGAACTTAAGTCTAGGTCATAGAACTTAATAAAAGTATGCGGTGAAGACCATCCAGCCGCATCACAAACATCACTGAGGGAAACTCCCGACAATAAAGCTTTGGAAGCAGCCATACTCTTGGTAGAGTGGGCTCGAACAGCCAAAGGTGAAGGCTGACCAGCCGACTGATAAGCGAGCGAGATAGCCTCGACCACCCACTTGCTCATTCTCTGTTTAGACGCAGGGCACCCTTTCCTGGGTGGCCCGAAACATACAAATAGTTGTTCTGATTTCCTCCACAGGGCAGTTCTGTGGACATAAGCGTCTAACGCCCTAACAGGGCAGAGTAAATTAAGTTTCTCCTGGTCCGATGACATAAATGGAGGAGGACAGAAAGCCTGCAGAACCGTAGGTCTAACAACATTAGTAGGGACCTTAGGAACGTACCCCGGTCTAGGATGCAGAAAAGCCTTAACCATGCCGGGAGAAAATTCCAGGCACGAGGGTGAAACCGACAGAGCCTGCAAATCTCCGATCCTTTTAAGCGAGGAGACAGCAAGCAAAAGGATAGTTTTAAGAGTAAAAAACTTCTCAGGAACTTCTTCGATAGGTTCAAAAGGAGCTAGGGAAAGACCTTCTAATACAATGGCCAGATCCCAGGACGGCACCCTCGTACGTACTGCTGGCCTCAGCCTCAAAGTGCCACGAAGGAAACGAGTTATAAGCGGGTGTCTCCCAAGAGAAACTCCACTGAAAGGGACGTGGTAAGCAGCCAGTGCCGCCACATACACCTTTAGTGTGGAGGGGGATAACCCTGTGGAGAAACGCTCCTGCAGGAATTCCAGCACTGCACCCACTGGGCAGTTAACTGGGTCCTGCAGGTGTTCTCCACACCAAGAAGTGAAAAGTTTCCACTTCAAGGCATAAAGCTTCCTCGTGGATGGAGCTCTGGAGTGAAGAATGGTCTCAACAACCTCGGTTGAGAGACCAGAATCTATGAGCTGGGCCCCCTCAGAGGCCAAGCCCACAGTTTCCACAATTCTGGGCGGGGGTGAAATATCGTACCGCCCACCTGAGAGAGTAGATCCCTCCTGACCGGGAGCTCCAAAGGAGAGCCGTCCAGGAGAGAAATCAGGTCCGCGAACCATACTCGGGCCGGCCAGAACGGGGCTACTAATAGTAGGCTGACCCCGTCCCGGCGAACCCTCTCCAGAACTCCTGGTAGCAGAGCAATCGGGGGAAAGGCGTACAGGCGTGACCTCGGCCACGGCTGTACCATAGCGTCCAACCCCAGAGGGGCTGGAGGACTGATGGAGAACCACAGATGACAATGCGTGGTCTCCATAGAAGCGAACAGGTCCACCTCGGCGCGACCGAAACTCAACCAAAGGAGCTCCACCACCTCGGGGTGGAGTCTCCATTCCCCCGGCCTCGGCCCCTGCCTCGACAGGGAGTCCGCCACCATATTCAAATATCCGGGAAGATACATTGCTCTCAGAGATAGTAGCTTCCCCTGGGACCACAGGAGGATCTGACGGGCCAGCTTGTAAAGCCGGCGAGACCGCAGGCCCCCTTGATGATTGATATAAGAAACCACCGACGTGTTGTCTGACTGGACTAACACATGATGACCTCTGAGGTCTGCTAGGAAGTGCTTCAGAGCCTGAAACACAGCCAACATCTCCAGACAATTTATATGCCACAAAAGATGGTGGTCCTGCCACAGACCCTGGGCTGGACGACCACTCATGACCGCCCCCCACCCTGTGAGGGAAGCATCTGTCGCTAGCGTTACTCGACGACAAAGAGCCCCCAGCACAGGACCTTTGGATAGGAACCAAGTTTCTTTCCACATGACCAGAGCACGAAGGCAGCGCCGCGTGACTTTGATCGTGCGGAGCGGATTTCCCCTCGGGGAGAACCCCTTGGTCCTGAGCCACCACTGTAGCGGTCTCATGTACAACAGGCCGCAAGGTATAACGTTGGACGCTGCTGCCATCAGACCCAACAGTCTCTGAAACTGCTTCACAGTGAGTAGCTGGCCTAGCTTTACTTGTTTCACAGCTGAGAGAATCGAAGCGATGCGAGTCGGAGAGAGTCGCGCCCTCATCGAAACCGAATCCCAAACGACACCCAGAAAAGTGGTCTTCTGAGAAGGAGATAACACACTTTTCTTTGCGTTCAGCCTCAACCCCAACTTTCTGATATGAGCGAGGACGACATCTCGATGCCGAACCGCCATCTGCTCCGTCTGAGCTAAAATCAACCAATCGTCGATATAATTGAGAATACGAATGCCCTGAAGCCTCAGAGGCACTAGTGCTGCATCCATGCATTTCGTGAAAGTGCGGGGAGATAAGGCTAGGCCAAACGGAAGTACCTTGTATTGGTATGCCTCGCCCCCGAAGGCGAACCTCAGGAACTTCCTGTGTTGTGGAAGGATGGAAACGTGGAAGTATGCGTCCTTTAGGTCTATCGTGACAAACCAGTCCTCGGATCTGATTTGAGACACGATCTGCTTGATAGTGAGCATCTTGAATTTTAGCTTCCCTACCGAGCGATTCAACAGGCGCAGGTCTAAAATTGGACGCAACCCCCCATCCTTCTTTGGAACGATGAAATATCGGCTGTAATAACCTGACTCCAGACTGGGAGGAGGAACCCGTTCTATAGCCTCCTTTTGAAGGAGTGTTTTCACCTCTTGTTCCATTACCAGAGCCTGCTCGGGGCCCACCACAGTGTGAAGAACCCCTCTGAACTTTGGTGGACGACACCTGAATTGGATAGCATAACCCTTTTCTACTGTCTGCAGGACCCAATGAGATATTTTTGGAAGGCTTTTCCACTCTGCCAAAAAAACTACTAAGGGTACCAGTCTCTCGAGACTGGCCTATGGTGTAACTTGAGCAGCAAACACAGCGCCCTGTAACGGCGCACCGGCAGGGAACGACTGGCTTAACTGCTCTGAGACCCTCCTCAGAGGGAGCGAGCGTCCCTCGGGAAAGCACTCGCTGGGACCGTCTGCGCCCCGGCATAAAGGCAGGGTTGGCAGAACGGGCCCCTGAGGGCACCGAGGAAGAATGGGCACCGTAAAAAGAGGTGAACACCTTTCCGCCTCGGTGGGGACCACCCTCAGTATCCTGAACGCCTCGGCGTCAGGACTTCTTCTTAGCCGAAGCCTTCTTGGCCAATATAACTGTCCTCAGATCAGGTCTATTGCCAGAAGGCTTTGGCTGAGAGTGCCGCGGCTGAGCCCACTGTCCAGCAGGGGGAGCACGAGACGCGACACTCTGCTTCTGCTGCGCCCTATGTGATGAGCTCGTAGTCGGCCGAGGCTGCTCCCGCCCAGCAGCCCCAGGGACGTGAACTTTCAAGGGAAGAAACTTCTTAAAAGCTGCCGCTTGTTTCTTCTCCTCCTGGAATTTATCAATAACTGAATTCACAGCATCACCAAACAAACCCAGGGGAGAGAGAGGAGCGTCTAAAAGAAAAGATTTTTCTTTCTCTTTTATGTTTGTCTGATTTAACCATAAATGTCTTTCTGCGGCCACCAGAGCTGCCATAGAACGACCCATTAACTTGGCTGATTCTCTGGTGGCACGCAGGGATAAATCAGCAGCCTGACGAAGTTCGCGAACTATCTCAGAACTGACCTCCTCACTCTCACTCACGTCCTTAAGCAGATCAGCCTGGTATGCCTGCAAGATTGACATAGTATGCAGGCATGACGCAGCCTGACCCGCCGCCGAATACGCTTTACCCACCAAAGCCGAGGTATTTCTTAAAGGCTTGGTGGGTAATGCCGGTGTCTTAAAAGATGACGCTGCCTCGGGGGAGAGATGACTCGCAAGCGTCTCTTCCACACGAGGCAAAGCCCCATAACCATAAGCCTTAGCCCCCATAATATTTGAATATGTCGAAGTCTGGGGACTAAACACTCTATATGAAACCGGTTTTCTCCACGATCTCGACACCTCAGTGTGGAGATCGTGGAAAAACGGCAGACACCGACGTGGAGGCTGCACACGTGACGGCAAAAATCTCTCATCTAATTTAGATTTAGAAACAGACTCCTGTCTAGCCACTGGCCACTCGATACTGAGTTTTTCTACAGCTCTTGATAAAACCTCCATTAACTCATCACATTCGGGAGTGTGGGGTGGCGAATCCTCCACCTCTCCCTCAATACTAACAACATCCAGCTCCTCAGAACTGGATAGTTGCAGTGTTTGTGCCTCAGCTCGAGCGGAAGAAACCGCAGCGCGTGCTTCCGAACCCGAGACTGAGGCACTGGATCTCACAGGTGAAGGGAGAGATAAGGCAGCGCCCGTCTCAACCCCCGCTGAGAGATCCATCTGCGATCCCCACGTTAAGCGCCGCCGCTCTGCCTCAACAGAAGCGGGACCCGAACCGCGGGGAGCGCGCACTGAACCGCTCTCATCAAAGAGCGCCCGGCGAGTGCGGAGCGTCCTTAAGGGCAGACGCTCGCAATGCTCACAGTCAGCTCCCTCGAGAGCTGACTAGGCATGCTGCACTCCCAAACAAGCAACACACAGAACGTGTGTATCCCCACCCGTTAGATAGCGCGGGCAGGGAGGAACACACTTATTAAATTGCTGTTCGTTCGCCATTCTCTCAATATATATATATAAATTGTTTGTGTGGTGCAGAGTATGTAAGACAGACAATATCACACAGGGACAGATTCACATAAAGCGCGACTGAAGGCACAGAAGCTGATGCGCTTGTGCTTTTGGGGTGCTTTTATAGTTTCCTGGTCGATGACGTCACCCGCCTATGACGTTTCATCTCTCTATTGGGCTGATTCCATACGTGCTTCATGACGCACAACGCAGGGGCGTTCCCACAGCGTTTGACGCAGCTCGAGTTCCCTTGATAGGGAACTATATTAGCGTGCAGACCAGAGGAATATCGTCGTTTATTAAATGCTGTTTTGTCGTCTCTTTAAAGCAGGATGGATTTTGATTGGCTGTCAAGTTTTAATCGTTCATCAGCTGGAAAAAAATCTAGCTGTATCTTTATCGTTCTCGTTATAGTTCTCGGCTTTAAAGACTCTTGTGTTTCAGATTCAGGTCCGCCTTCAGCTGCAGGAGTACACGTCTGTGTTTTTCGTGGCAGTGAAGACTGGCGTGATTTCTCTCATTGCTTGGGCTTCGGGGACGGCAAGTAGCCTACTACATATAGATATTATAGTGAGCATAAAATATTGTCTTTATTATGCCAAATTTGTGTTTAATTGTCTCTGTGTGATTTTTTTTTTTTCAAAGGAGACAATGTGGAAAACAAGCCCAGCGTCTGTTGAAATTCCAAGGTAAAATATACAAGCTAAATTTGAAAAACTGTTTGATTTCACTGTGCAGACGTGCATAGTAGCCTATGTGTGGTGTAGCTTCATTCAAGTCATTTATTCAGGCTGCGTTTATATTGGCACAACAAATCCAATCTGACAGATCGGACTTGTTGCACACGTGTAAACACAAAAATCCAATTTTTTCGCATCCAATCTGAGCTACTTCCAAATGTGGTTGTAAATCAGATACACGATATCTGGACATCCGACCTACGTCTAAACACGCATATCCGATTCCCCTTTGAATTCCAAGCCACCACCAGTCGAGGACGAAACGTTTATTCACAAAGATAGTTTTTTAAAGGGGTGGTATAATGCCCTTTTCACAAGATGTGAAATATGTCTTTGATGTCCCCAGAGTGTGTATGTGAAGTTTTAGCTCAAAATATCCCACATATTTTTATATAGCATGTCAAATTATCACTTTTTGAGGGTGAGCCAAAACGCACCGTTTTGTGTCTGTTCCTTTAAATGCAAATGAGCTGCTGCTTCTAGCACAGAGGGCGGAGCTTCAGTACCTCACACAGACATGCACTGAAAATGGACATTTCTGAAGGGTTAGTTGATGATATTATGTAGCTGATGTGTTAACTATCTTCTAGTCATTGATTTGCATATTCTGTCTTGGTAATCTATAAATCGCGTTCCCGGGGGCGGGGTTCATGTAAATATTAGGGTTGGTGATGTCACTAACCCGGGAGGAATGTTGTGTAGTCCCTACCAGCCGTTTGTTGTAATCGTTAAAAAACAATTTATTTAAAAGCAAATATCTCCCTTTGCGTTGAACTTTGAGCGTTGTAACTTTGCAGATGTTGTTTATGCTCAAACAGCTACACACAAACTAAAGTTTGAAAAGTGAAATCATAATCATCCACCCCTTTAATGTTGTATTATGAGGCAGACGTGCCTGCGCTCGCTCACAGCTTTTTATTGAGATGGGAACTTTACACAGAAACATTCAGGAGCTGGTTTTCAACTTCTGCCCGTGACTTAAATAATACAGCTTCATACTGAAACCTACATTATATTTCTCAGCAATGAGGTGATAACTTCACTGTAATTAACACAACAAGTTTCACTAGGTTTCTCACTCGCGTATCACCCAACATGAATTATGTAAATCATTTTAATAGCAATTGGATATGGTCAAAAGATCGGATCTGTGCATTAAGACTTGCAGTAAATGCAGACCCACAGAGAGTTGAGCTTTCCTCTGAGAGACTGTCATCTTCCGGTCCCAGGACTTGTTGGGTTCATTGTGTTTGTGGAGTCAGATGTAGTGATTAAGTGAACACTTAAAGTGTTTGCTGTGTGCTAACTTCTATGTGACTTTGGTAACCTTGTGTTTTTAGTTAACTGGTGTGTTTCTTTTAAGTTAATACACTGTTTGGTTGTTTCTTTATTGGGATAATTTGTAGGGAGGTGGATGCCATTTTATTTGAGAATTAGAGCTTTCTCCTGTGTTATATATAGAGAGGAATTAAGGGAAGTCTTTATGATTTCTTTTGAAGCTATAGTTATAGTTGACAGCGCGGGTTGGGACCAAGCGGCAACATTCTAATCTGAAAAATGAAGCCTACCCGGAAGTGCGAAAAACTGCAATACATCTAAAATCCGCTAGGGGCAGGTCCCAAAAGGGAGCAAATCTCCATAGACCCCCATGTTAAAATGTCCGTTTTCACAGCATAAATTCATGTTTTTACAGGTTGGTCCCATGGACTTTTATTGTATTTATCAATAGGTTTCGAGTGCATGACAACTGTGAGGGGGGTGAATTTTTTTCTAACTCGTTAGTTTAGATCGTATTTAGATATAAAATGTATGACAAAT